TATTTTCATGATTTATTACTTCCCTGACTTTCTTAGGTGTTAGAAAGAACAATGAATCAATCCAAGCATTTTCAGAGTGGGGACTGCTAATTGCATGAGCTCTGTTTTCCACTCGAGAGCTGCAGTTTTGACAAGTCTCTTGACCCCATGTTAATACACATGATTAATTATTGTTAAGGGTGTCTGCAGAAACGAACTGGATAGGTAACTCTTCAGAGCTTTTCTTTCTTTCTGAACAAGCAATAAACATAATAATGTTTACACTGCTGAAACAGATGGGGAAAGAAGGTGCTTTTGAAGGCTTGGGGGTAAACCCATGGCTGCTCAGAGATGGGCATCCAGAGAGCACAGGCTGAGGTGATGGGGAAGCAGGTTGGAAGCAGTTCCTTCTCAGGACTCTTTGGTGGCTCATGGCAGCTTTCCCTTTCCTGTGTGTGTCACTACAGAGGACTGCAAGCGAGGGCAGAGGTGCTGCAACCCTGGTGTGTGATGAGGGATGGGAAGCACCACGGGCAGGCCACCAGGTTATTGGGGTGCCAGATGTTTGTACCATTTCAAAAACTGATGGAACAAGATCCAATGCTGTGGACTCCTCTGGGCCATTTCTCTGGAGGCTTGCAATGCCCTGCCATGCTTTACCTTGCTGTCCTGATCTGCCTTCACTCTGTCTGCTATTGGAATTCATTCCCCCCAGAACAAGGCTCTTCCTTCCCAGTGGAGGGAACTGCTGCTGACTCACCTGGAGAGGCTTGGGGTGATGCCAGGAGTTGTGCCCAGGCTCATCCCAAGCAGAAGGACCTGTGTCCTTCTCCTACACCACTCCTGGCTTGTTGCAGGTCTTTGGGGCTAATGCTGCTGGGCAAGGTGTTGAGTTTTGTCTGTGGGCTCAAAAATAAGGCCAGGAGAGGTTGACCCTCACCCTTGGGCAGCCCCAGAGAGATATCCAGAGTGGGGTGTCCATGGCAAGATGCTTCTCAGGGAGCCTCAATGTGAGTGCTGTGGAATGGCAGGGACCACCAGGAGTGACCATGGGAAGCACAGGAGCTGGTGAAAAAGGCAACATAATCTGCAGCTGACACAGTGAAGCTGCATTTTAAAATACCACATAACAGATGCAACCAGAATGGCTGTTCCTTGCAACACCCTTAGAAAAGAGAAGAAAAAAAATAGAAATACAGTTTTAATTGCGTGCCTTAAACTGATTTATCCTGCATAATTTTATTATTTCTAGAAAATTTGGCCCAGATGATCATGGTGGGAGGTAAAGTTGGTAGGAGACCCTGAAATTTGCCATTGTGGGTTACTACACAGCACAGAGGACAGAATCTCTGTCTGCACAAAGGCCTTCTTAGCACGCTGGAGGTGCAGGGCCGTGTAGGACCTGACCTTGCTGCTTCCTGTCTCTTGTGTTTCAGCACGGCAGCAGCACCACCAGGCTGAAATAGAAACCCAGGACAAGCCTCTCTGAAGTTCACAGCACACAATACTGTGATCACCTGGCTCTGTGCCCTGCAGAGGTACAGATGGAATCCCCTAGTCCCCTCCAGCTTCATCCTCACCCGCCCCAGGCAGCAATCCCAACAGGACACATGCAGCCATTCCCTTGTGGACAAGGGGGCACTTGTGAGAGGGCACCTCAGCACCCTTTGAGACCCCTTCTCAACTTTCCAGTGGCCTCTGTGCACAGGTTTGTACCACCAATCTTGATATCTTCTAGTTTTCCCAGTTTGCACTTGTCAGTGAGCTGGGCTAGCCCTAGCCCCCACAGCCAGGCTCTAACTGCAGTGGGGAGGGGAACTTGAGGCTGCACTTGTAGGAGGCTGCTTTAACATCATCTTTGACATCACCCAGCTTTTCCTGGGTGTTGGGCAGCTCATGTGGTTGGGCAAAGCTTTTTTCTTACTCTGATTTTGAAACTTCATTCTACCATACACCAGTGCAACATGTTTATAGCAAGCAGCATTTTCCCCTCTGGCCCTGCTCAAGTTGCTCACTCCATTCAGAACACAGAAAGAATGAGGGGATAAATGTAATGAGAATGCTGGAAACTATTGTAAATGCAGGCAAACCCAATGGGAAGAAATGACGATGTCTGACTCAGTTTAGAAGGCCAAATTATTTCTTTATTATAACTATGCTAAAATACATTAATATGCTATATAAAAGGAGGATACTAAAACTACATACTACTTTCTCTAACTCTAACACAACTTGTGACCCTCTCTGGAGAGTCCAGCCCCAGGTGGGTTGGATTGGCCATCAGGCTCAAACAATCCTCACCAGACTCCAATCAAGCACTCACCCCCAGGTAAACAATTCTCTAAACACATTCCACATAGGAAAAACAAGGAGCAGAAATAGAAATTGTTTTCTCTTTCATTTTTCTCTGTGCACCTCTATGAAAAATCCTGAGAGGGAGAGAAATGTGCCTGCCACAGGAAACAGCCAGCCTGTCTGCATCGTTGTTCCCCATGGCTGTCCCCCTGTCCCCAAGCCATGCAGAGGCAAGACCAGAGCTCTGAGGGGAGAATGGGCTCTTCTCCCATGGCAGGAAGCATCTGTCTGCTAACCAGGCCCACATGGCCTGGGTGAGAGCAAAGAGCACCAGGGCATGGTGTGCACAGACCCAGTGACATGTGGTGAGGTTAATTGCTCTGCTCAGTTTTAGTGTCGTGCTCTGGAGAGGGAATACACTTCACTGGGCGGGGGGAAAGAATGCTGACCGATTTGTGCAGAAGAAAAGCCTATTCTTTCATCTATTTGAAAGCTTTTGTACATCAAATCCTGATGTCGCTGATATAATTGGTGTAGACAATTGCGAAGGTTTTGATAAAACCATTTGCGGAAGAGCTATTCATGGGGGGCAAAGAAGGGTCATGGTTTGGGGAGCAGCTAAGAAACAAAAACCCCAAAAGCAGGATGAAGGCTGCACAAATGTCACACAGCTCCTTATCCCAGACAGCAGCACCCTCAGCTCCCTACATGTGGTGGATGAGGGGGCCTCCAGCAGCAGAGCCCAGCCAAGGATGATGAGAGGACTCCCAAGGGCATCCCCAAAGCCAGGGGAACAGGTCAGAGTGGGGGAAGAAGATCCCCACCACAGACACAGCCTGGGTAAGTCTCCCTGAGAGGAAGTGGGGGGTGGTTATGGTAAGTCCAGATCAGTTCTCACCTCCTGAAGAGAAAACTGAGCTAGGGCCATGGGCAGCTCACCACAGTGGTCCACTGGGGATTACAAATATATGCTATTATTCCAAAAACGCCTAAAAAAAATGAAGATACTGGATAAAACTCAGGGGAGAAAGTAGCAGAGAACTGTCTAAATGGTCAGACAGGGAGGAAGAGGAGGTCCTCTTCTGGCACTGCTGCCTCTCACCAACTCCCAAATGATGCATCAAAAAGAGAGGAAGGGAGCATTTCTGACATAGGAAAGTAAGCGAGTTAGAAATAGCTAGCTAGAACTGAAATTATTTTTATTTCTATATGAACTGAGTAAAAAGCAACATAATGGCCAATATACAAAATAACAAATGCCACAAAAGAAGTGCATATAAGTACTCCTATTTTCACTTTTCACATAAAAAGAGAACAAAGGGACAGTCAATAAACCAAATCAGCAGCACACATACAAGGATGAGCGAAATACTGTTGTTCTAATGCACTGTGCATAATCATCCAGAGTGCTCCCTGTTCCAAAACATCACTAAAATCACAGATGCAGAGAGACTTGCAAGAAAGGGACAGGAATGTACCTGAAAGGAAAGGTCATTTGCAGTTATATTTGCTCTGTGTGAGTTACTTGAGCAGAAAGCAATAATATAGCTTTTAAGAGAGAAATTTTCACACAAACAGCAATAAATGAGATGGGGGCAAAGGTCCCCTGGGCAGATTATTCCAAAAATTGCCTTCTAAGGGATGTCTCATTCCTCCTTCCTCTGAAGTATTTGCCTGGACTGTAGGCAGCAGTCAGTGACTGGAAAAGACAAACCACTTCTTGTCTCCTCTGGCTCCCTCCTGCAGCAAGACCAGAGCACATTCCCACCTGCTGTGTCCCCAGCATTACCCTGAGACAGGGTTTTTCATCCTTCCTGGAGCACCAAAAGCAGCTGCTTGGGTGGGTGCTGAGTTCCAGCCTGCTCCTTCCTTCTAGTCAAGGAACATTTCACATCCTCAGCCGTATGTGACTGAGAGAGGTAAAAATAATCTTGTCATCTTTTTTTTTTTTTTTTCCATTGACGTGCAGTGATATCTCCCCTATTCATTGCTGAAATGAACCAGAATTAATCTCAGCCGACAATTCTGCCTGGTGATGGGAATGCACATTTTAGTGATACACATCAGCACACCTTCCTTCAGGAGCACTGCTACCTGGATAAATATCAGAGAAGGTCAGCAAAGGGGAGGTGGGACAGGAAATCACTTGAGAGGTCATCCCAAATTTAAATAGAGCTGACAACTGCACAGCTGGATTTGTGAAAATCTTCCTTTTCATGGCCTCCTTTATCTGAGGTAGACCAGAAACTCAGGTCTTTCTGTGCCCACAAAAATATTCACCTGGCCTTAACCTCCCTCTCTGTGATGTGTCCTGATACCCAACTCAGAGCAGGAACTCTCCTTCCCCAAAATGCTGCCCATTCCCAAAGGTTGGCATCCCAGTTCCTGACCTCTCCAGAGCTGTGCTGCAGCACTCCCACAGTAGCTTTTCCCTGACTCCCAGGCACACCTGGTACATTCTCCCACCAAAATACTTCCATTGCAGGCAGTGGTTCCTGTTTTTCCCTCTCTTTGCAACCCCAACCTCAAGCTCGTTACCCTCTGCAGGAGATGTGGTGGCTGGAAGCTGGGGGACAGGGCAGGGCACCCTCTGCTGACCTCCCTCCATACCAGCTTTAATGTCCCACCTTCTGCCTTCTACCCCTGGAGAAGAGGGCAGTCATTCCAACATGGAGCTGATCACATGAACTGCACATTAAGAGACCTTATATCTTGTTGTGTGTTGGTTTTTTTTTTTTTTAAGACTTTATTCATCTAACATGCTTGACCAAAAATTACAACACTCAAGTTATGCCAAAATGATTAAATAATCTTTAAGCTTTCATACCTCAAGTACTTTAAATGATATTCTGAAGTAACAGTTGCTTTCATATCCTTTCCACATAAAAATACACAGTATTTGGAAGATACCTTAGGAAAAATTATTTTTAAGAGAATATTTTATGGTTGACATAGAAATTTTGCTGAGGCTAATAAAAGGACCTCTTCCCTTCACTTTAACATTTAAGTGCCGTGAGTGAATGTAAACATTTCAGACTTCAACATACAGCCAATTTCCTGCCACATTTGTTGCAAACCACTTGAATTGTGACTAGACAAGCCACTTTTATTCTAACTACATGCTATTGTTCATCTTCCCAATGATGGCAGGAGTTCATATTCAACTATGAATTTCAGTTCTTACTGATTGAGGAGCTGATCCTGAAATTTCTACACCAGTAGCACTGACAAAAATTGCCCCATCTTAATTAATGGCAGACTGCCCGCCTTGCTCTGAGTCGAAGTTCACATGGCCTGGTTTTGCAACACGGGTATTTTAAATTGTTTATTTGTATAATGTACATGCAGCTGCTACAAAAAACTCACATTTACATCCATGTAACACACACAATTCTCCAATGCATGTGTGCAGGTGTGGGCTATGCACAGACCTGCAACCAGCTCTGAGCTGGCAGTGCTGTGGTGTGCCCAATGTGTGTGAACAAGGTTAATGTCTAGATGCTGTCAGCCCCAAATTCAGGATGCCCACATTCAGAATACAGCAGTTAAATTATCTCCATCGAGTCAAAAGGACCTGTTTGTTAGTTCAAGGCATAAATCTATTTCTTGCAGGACATGTCTGAAGCCCTGGGGTTTTTTTGGTGGCTTTGTAATCAATTCTTAAGCTTCTGCCTAGGACAGGACTGAAATCCCAGCAGCTTCAATACCTCTACTAGCACTGCAGGAGAGCTGCACAGGCAGTGCTGTGGCTGTGGACCATCCCAACCAGCTCCTGACACATCCCCTGCTTTGCCTGGTACCAAAAGCAACACAACAGATGGGTTTCTACTGGGTTTGTGCTGGGCCACTCTCAGCAGTGTCCATGAGTGGGCAAACAGCAGTACCAGGTCCCCTGAGGTGACCTCTGCTCTGCACACTTGGGTGTGTACCCACCACTCACAGCCACCCAAAAGCGAGTGCCTGAACTACACCTTGGGTTGATGCCTTCCCCTTGACATCCATGTTTCCCAAGGACAAAATGATCACAATGACTTTTAACCACTCCTGACCAGGGCCAAATTCAAACCAGTAATCTCATCATTGGCTGCATGTCCCATTAGCAGTTTTTAAACCAGTAGTCCCAGTGGGTTTTGTTTAAAATACCATTACTACTCATTGGGTGGGCTCTTTGCAGGTTCTTTTTCTTTCTTTTTTTCCTTAAATACAATAACATATCGCTTTACAAAAACACAGTAATATTTTTTCTTTTTTTTTTTTTTTAAGGGAAATGTCATCCTTTTTTTTTTTAAACAGGCGAGGCCAGGTTACAAATTCCTGAGTTTATACTGCACTTAACACAGTCTCCCTTCTTGAATGTTGAGCTGTTTACAGCATGCTGGCAATATGCACCATTTCCCTTGCCATCTGTAATGCCAGATGTAGTAAAACTTCATTTCAGTACAGTGAATTAGGGCCTGTATTGCATTGGTTTTGAATAAATGCAAAGACTTAGACCTGGAGGACTTGGAGAAATAGCTTTCTTCCTGTGACTGTCATTTGTGCACCATCTTTTATATTTGCCATGTTGATTATGGGAAAACATCTTTACCATCATTTTTATTTTAATAAGAGTTCACTGAAAAACATCTGAAATGAGGAAGTCCTAGTCTAAACACTTACGTTTAAACTGCAAATTTTCTTAAAGAAACACTCCTTTGAAAGACATTGTTCTTTTAATAAGTCCAGTATATGGTATGTACAAAAGCCCCTACTAGAGATATATATATAGATATATATATCTATATATATATATATCTGTGGAATGCACTCACTTTTCTGTGTTCACAAATATTTTAATGGTGAAATGTTAGTCTTTAATCTGTTTCTGGCACGAAAATGTCTTTGTTCCTTGTCCACTTTTGTTACTCTAAATTTATCTGTGAAGAGCTAGCAGGGAAAAAAAGAAGGATTTTGCTTTTTTTGTTGAATGGTTCCCTATTGGGATTCTCAGCCAGCAATATAAAGTTGCTTATGTGTTGGGTACAACTTTAAATCCTCATTATAATCATGTGTTCCTTGGAGTAGGTAAGTCAATAACTATAGGCGGATTAAGTGGCTGGTAATTCACAGTGCACACAGATGCATTCACATAGGTGGTAGTTCCATCAGCCATGACACCATAACCTAAAAAGAAAGAAAAATTCTGGTTACTTTCATTATTCCTTATTATCTTCTTTCATTTTTAATTACCTTTATCACACAATGATAAGTGCCACATTTTTTATTACTCAAAAGGAATTTAAAAATTATCTTTGTTCAAAACATAAATGTTCCCTGAATCAATACCATCTTTGTCCTACAGAAGAACTTTTAAAATTGTGTAAGAAAAGCAAAATGGGGCCTCAGTAGCTGGTGGCTATTATCTCTGGCAGCCAGGCATTCAACCTGCTTAGAAAGACAGATACTTTTCTCTGCAGAGATTTTTCACTTAAAACCTTTTTAATTTTGGAAAGGATGCTTCTGATCATTTAGGCTTGCTGTCATCAGTGCAGCAAACTTTGGCCAATTTTAATCTTCCCACCTTTTTTTTCCTGCCCTGTGTTGAACATCCTTTAAACAACCAATGAAGAAAAAGCATTGCTTGACTGGGGCAAGTACGTGTGCATGTGCATCTGGGCAGGATTTGCCAAGTTGGAACCTCTTTAGCTATGTCTTTGAACTTGTTGGCCAAACTTCATGGAAAGGCACTAAAATGCCTGCCCAGGCTGAGAAAAAAATGGCTTTATTATTGAATGCATTGTCTAGCAGACAAGGTGAAAAAAAAACCCAGAACATTTCCACAGGAGAACACACACATCTGTGTGTCTCACCAGCAGTGAAAAAGCTTCAGCTACATCTCATGTCTGGCTGGACATCGAAGACAAACAATTCCAGAGTTAAATCTGCAGAAAACCAAACTTCCAGCTCTAATTCCTGTAGAAGTACAGTGAACTGCTGTTTCAGAAAGTGAAGAAGAAGCCCTTTGACAGCCTTGGTGTTATGGAAGAGAAGACACACTTCTCTGTTGTCAAAAAGCTTTTAGTGAATCACTAGGAAAAAACATAATCTTGATTATATGAAGGCTAAAAGTTTAGTGTTGGAAACTTTCACTGAAATATTATGATCAATATGAAGAACTGCATTCATCGTCACAAATACCTGATTTTGGGGAAATCACCTGGTAGAAAGCATTTGTACTAAGATTCAATCTCACCTTTCATAAAGTTAATAGTGAAATGTATTCATTGCTATTCAAACCCCAGGTACTGAGGACCCTACATTTTTTCTGAATGCAATTGTGTGTCTTTCAGAGCACTGAAAATTGCATAATTTGCAAACAAAGAAACAGTAGCCAAATTCCTTTCTCTTTGGTTCCTTACAACACCCTGAATAATGCAGGGCCGTCTGCACCTCTCATAGAAAAAACACACTATAATTAGGGCCCAGGGAGGGAAGAAAACTCTGTCAGGTTCCTGTCACAGGCATTTCTTTAAATCCCTTTCTGTTTGCCACAGAACGACTGCTCTGAGGAAAACACAAATATGCACACAGGACAGTCAGCACCACAGCTGGGACTTTCTGTCTCCTCAGCTCCACATTTGGAGAGAGCAGACACTCTCTTTTTCCTGGAAGATTCATTATGCTGCAGCTTTCACTCTTGTCCCACTGCCAGCAAAGTTTCCTTGGCCATGACCTCAGTGGAGTACTGGCTGTACTGGGAAAACCAGAATTTTAGCCAGAGCCCCTGCCATGCTGCTTGTCCCTTCCACCGGTGCATCAGCTTCAAGCCCATGTGCAGAGATATTTTTTGGCAGATATGGTAGTGCAGAGAGGGAATAGGGCAGAAACCTCTCTTAGAAGCACCTCTTCCCCCTAGATGTTCAGTGAATGACTGCTGCAGATGTAGCTATGCTCACTCCGAAGAAGAACTCATCTGTTCAAATCATGCATTCTCTCTACAAAGTGCAGCTTTGTTTGCTCAGGCTGCCTACAATGGGAATTCTCCTCTGCAGAGATTTAGCATCCCACTGAAAAACAAGCTCTGCAGTTCCCCATTTGTTTTCTCTAAATTATGATAGTTAACAAGAAGAGTACCTTGTTTCTGTGTTTTGATACCTATTGTGCCAACTACATTAATTCACAGGATTTGCTATTCTATGGAGGTGCTATTCTCTTCCCTCGAGAGCCAGATTTGGGCTTGGTTTTAGCAGATGTGATTTTGTTTACCTGCCTGAAGCTTCATGGCTTGCTGTTTGCTTATATCCCCTGCAACCCTCTTGGCTTATAATTTCTGAAATAACAATTAGTTTGAACTATATTCACCAGCTCTCTTGGTTGGAATATCAAAGACCACTCTAGCAGCATTATTTGTTTACTCTGTGATTTAACAGCACTTTGGACATTAACCAGGCATTAACAGGTCACTGCAGATGAGACACACGAGGAGAATGGACCTAATCCTTGAGCTATGAAATAATGATCTGAACATCTTATCCATTAATTTTGCAACAGTTATTGCACAATCTTGAAGATCAAGCCTTAGAAGCACCCCTCAAAACATTCCTACCCGTTTTACAACCACAGAAGCTGACATACAGAGATCTTACATGAATTATTGTGAAGCACAGATTCTGCTGAGGAAAAAAAAATATCTCCATCCTAATATTTAGTCACTTTCTGTGACAGCTGGACTTGTATTCTTATTTTTAAATTCACATTAAAGTACTCATCCCTGTGAAGGAAACATCAACCTGTTTTATAGATGTAGAATATGAAAGATAAGCTCAAGTACAAGTATTGAAATGTGGATATCAGCCAATTTCACCTCTATATATACAGCTAAATATGTATCTGAATTCAAGAAGTGCCTCAGTTCAGACATTCAAGTTTGAAAATGCTGGTTTAGCCTTCTCTGTTTGCCATTTCTAAATACATATATATAAAGACATGTGTTCTAACCTTCATGGATGTGTCCAAAAACATGAAGCCTTGGCTGTATTCGTCTCTGGACTGTGTTCAGCAGCTCAACACATCCTACTCGTTGCATTTTCTTAGGGACCCAGTCTAGAAAACCTTTGGAAAAAGAAGGAAAGCTTTAAGAGAAGACAGGTAATCCACAAAGCTGTGCTGTCATACATATTTTTTGAGATTTCATGTCTCATGGCTTTTTACAAACAGCCACGGAAGAATTGAAATGGCAAAAACTGTGTCTGCCTTGGTATGCAGAAGAGGAAGGAAACAAAAATACTGGCCGAAAACCATAAAAGCTCATCTAGATAAAAAGGACTATGATAACTCTTTCCAGTTTTTTTTCAAAGAATAGAAATAATCACTGCAATCAAAACATTTTTTGCATTGTTGTTAATGGGATAACTCAATGCTTTACCCCTTTTTCTTCCTGAAGAGAATGAGATGTAAAGTGCAGTAAATTCAAAGGGAGCCTTTAAAGAATTTAAAAGAAAATTTAACATTTAACTATTTAAAATCAGTCCTGGGACCTACTTTTTTGATTGAACACTTGAACCAACCTAATGGAATCTGTGCTGCTAATACTACAACTATATTGTTATCACATTGAATCCTACAGTAGGAATCCACTACATGCCCAAAAAGTGACATCCTCGAGTTAAACCACTTCATGGCACAGCTTCCCTAAACTGATGGATCTCAGGTGGGAAGAGAAACTCAGGCCTTTTGCAGAAGATATATTTAAGTGCTGCATTTATTTGCACAAAATTTGTGTAAAAATTTATTTCTTACAAAAATAGAAATGTTACATCAACTTGCCTCTTTGTCTAAAAATACTGCAGGGGAAAGTTTACTGCCAACTGAAGTCCATGTTTCTTTCCAAGTAGCAGTATAAGGAGCATGTTGTATTGGAGTGTTTGCAACAATCAATCTGTTTTCTCTCTATTGTTCAGTCATTTTCATCAGGCTCAGTTTTGGAAACCTAGAAGATAAAATCTTCCTGGTTTTATTTTGTTGTTCTGACATTTTCCCTGTGCGCCTGTCATAGCTTTGCATCTCTTGGATTTTCTGCAGTAGTGTGAATATATTGTGCTTTTAGCCAGAGGTACAGAGTCTGGACCTGGTTTTCATACATTTACTTTTGATGTCCACTCAAGCATGGCTAAGTAGCCAACCAACTGATTTAAAAGACCAGAAGTGTGGTATTCAAGCTCTTGGAAAAGCTCTCAGATTTGCTAGAGCTTCAGGGTAGGTTCACACATTGAGAAATACCTCTTTAGCTGCCAGTGCTTGAAAACTGGGCTCAGTAAACTGTGAGGTTTTACCAAAATGGCAAAAGTTTGCATTTGTTTCATAGTTACTGAGAGAGTTAAGTTCAATTTTCAGGAAAAAAAAAAAAAAAAAAAAGAAAAATAAAAAAAGCAGGGAATGGGGCATCCTAAGTGACAAAAAGAGGAAGTTCTGATCATGATCAAAGACCTGAAGGTGCTGTTTGGCACCTGTCAGGGAATGTAGAAAAAGAAAACCCTGCTGACCTACAGCCAGGCTGAGCAATGCTCACTCCTGCTGAATTCACATGTGCCATCGAAGGGAGGTCAAAATTCACCAGAGAAAAACAGTATTTATGATGTCAAAGTGAGGCCAGCAATTCCTCTGGAATAAAGTAATGTTTGAAGTTTTTTTTTCCAGAGTAAACATATTATAGCCATAGGTTTTATTACTCCAATGATTTGAAACAGTTAATTGTCAAAATGTCTGCAGTGAACACAGAGCCAAAAGTATTTCCACTTCAAAAACTTCACAAACAAAAATCCATAAAATTAACTTCTCCATTAAATTAAGCATTATTTATGTTGAACATGTTTTTGTTTACATGCATTATCACCCTTCTGAAGCCTTCCCATATGTTTGCAGCTTATTATGTACACCTGACTACACAGACTAAGAATAATTGATTACACCTAGCTAACAATTAGAGTTCATCTGAGGGGTTTTTAATGTTTGGTTACTTGAAACAGGTTTCTGCAGCTGTCAGGAAAGTATAAATCTTTGCCACAGACTATCAAGCAGACAGCTGCAAATGAAGACTTAAAGGTGAAATTAAATTAAAATCAAAGAAAAGAAAGTGAACTTTTGGAAGATAAAAAAAAGAATCATAAATGGAGATCTTTAGAAAAGAAAAATATGCTGATATGGAAATGAGCATTAACACTGATCCTATAATCACAAATTCTATATTTCATAAGCTATGAAATACATTGCATATCTTTGTTAATACTAATAAACAGGTTACTAATAAAATGGTCAAAAATAGCTTTTTTAACCTTTTTTTTCCCCATCCTGTATGAACCTCCCATCTATCCCTGCTCTGGTTTCATCCTAAAGCACTACTCTAAAACAGAAGAGAAAAATTATTCGGATTTTTGTTACGTGACTAAATGGAAAACAAAGTTCATTAACTCTTAATGGTGTCTCTGCAGCTAAATCAGACCATTTCAAAACTATGTAATAATGTGGTATTAATTAGTTCAGGAGGATGCACACTCTTGAAGTGAGGAAATCAGAGAGCAGCACAGAAAATGGATGATGGGCAGAATTTAGGCAGCCATGCTGAAGAAAAAAACCCAGAATTTGCAAGAGGACTGATTGCTATTTGTGATCATCAGAAACAACTCTAGTGAGGTTCTGAATTCCAAGATCAGAATAACAGGAATCAGCTTTCTGATTAAAATAATTGGCTGGGAGGTTCAAGGAGGATGCTGTCTCCCAAAGGATCTAGGACAGAGCTGCACAATGAGGTGGTTTTGTAAGTTAAGCAGAGTGTTAAGTTCTTTGAAGTGTCATATATTTGTTGCCATGGGTGTCAGGGAGACCAACAGCTCCTGCCCTCAGGCAGAGGGTTCTGTGCTTGAGCCATCTATTAATGCATCAATGAGAGAGAGACAAAGAAACAGGAACTTCTGAAAAAAAAAATAAAAAGGAAATTCTTGGAGGATGATGGAAGATAAAGAATTAAAAAAAAAAAAAAAAAAGCACATACTGAGCCATGGAGATGGGGGGAATTCACATTACTCCCATTACAATCACTGGAGATGGGTGGCCCTTCCTCAGAATTACTGCAATTATTAATTTACTTTTCAATTATTACATTTGCTATTAAATTTATTACTAAAGTCTGCCTGTTGAGTGCCAGCTCTGCAGTGCTCTTTAGGGGTCCTCCTCCCTCTGCTGATGCCTGAGGCTACTGGAGAGGCCTGGTGGCTAAAGCAGCAAGGTGGTTGAATCTCTCCACTTTCCAATATTAGATTTCAAGTGAATCTTCAGTCAGCTGAATGTTGGATTGTTTAACAGCTGGCCAGCTGGCTTTAAAAGGGGTTTTCAAAGTGCTGAAAAAGCTTCTGGAAAAGTTTTAAATATGACTTATAAATAAAACTACATGAAAGACACAGCACTGTGGCTTGGACCCTAGCAAGGATTACCCCCATACCAATGGCTTGGAGCAGATATCTCAGGGCTGAAACACTTAATTTCTAACATCCACTTTTACAATACAGGCTCATATTAAAATCAGTCCATGGCATGGCATGAGACTCCACTTAGGTGAAGAATCAAAACACACACCCTTAACTGTGAGAAACTCTGCTCACAAAGAACTACTTTCCCCCAGGATTAGTGAGCAGTGGAATGCAAACATGTCTTTCTAAAGAAAACAAAACACAAACCCTTTAGATACTTTCTCTTCCAAGCTCTGAAAGAGAAGAAAGGGTGGAAGATGAGGGGTTTAGCTTCAGGAAATTGGGGAATCTAAAAGTTTAAAGAAACCAACAGCCTTCATTTCACTCAAAGCACAGTAAGGCTCAGCAGAACACTTGAGTACATGATTCTTGTTCAAGTCAATTTATTAAATTAGTGAGAGTCAAACACACAGTCACATTGAATATAGACTGCTATATGTTAAATGCATTGAAAAAAAGCTTAAAAGCCTTAAGCCTTTACTGAATCTGGACAACTTTACGTGATTGTATTATTTCTGTAGTAATGTCAACATTTTCTAGGAGTACAAGAAATCTCTTATAGATAGATAGCTTTTATATTACCTATATTAATAATAAATGGAAAATGCACATACAAAACTATTTATTTTTGCTCTGTTAATGTTGCCAAATTGTATTAAAGATAAGCAATTCAACCATCCTGTCCAAAGAACAGGCAAACAATGGGGAGCGTCTGGGTGTGTGAGGCAGAAGGTGCACCAAGTCAGCATGATGAGGCAAAAAAGAGATTCTGGGTACTTGTTAGTGGGAGAATGCAGTAGCAATTCAGGAAGAAAGCGATAAAAAATAAAATCCTAATCCTGCATTTCTCTTCAGACAGGCTCCATGCTTTCAATCTAGTAATTTCACCAATGGCAAATTAGAGATGTGCATAGGAAAACTAGACCCTGCTTATTTGTAAAGCATATTATGGCTTTATGTGTGAACATTTTATTTTTAAAGCCATTATTTAATTCCCTGCCACTGAGCAGAGATATCATAGGTAATCATGAGTTGAAGTCCTGGTGCTGCTGAAATCAGTATGCACGTTGCTTTTGACTTTTGTAAGTCAGGATTGCACTCTTTTTCTAAGGAGAGCCATCAGTTACCATATAATCATCTGAAATACACAGCTAAGAGCACTATTATTTTCTTACCGAGAGGTGGTCCATGTGTTATAAGAATATCTATTCCATCTGGAATAAGGTTCCATTTCTCTAATAGTGCTTGGCCTCGTGGAAGATTAAAGCCCCAGCCATAAAACCAAGGTTGCCTGCCAAGAGAGGAGGAGAATGTCTTCAGTGCTACTTCCATGTACTGGTTATCTAATTAAAATACTGAGGTTGACTCTTTACTACCACGGAATTCGAAGACACAAATAGCATTCATTTTCTTCTTTGTGTGCACAGTAATCCCCTCTTTCCATACAAGCAGTGCAGTTTAACTTGTATGGCAAACACGAGCAGTCCTCCCCGCTTTCAGTAGACAGCATAGAGTAAAATATTCACAGTATTGCTGCAACTACTTACAAGCCCTGGATACCAAGATCTCCATGTGTGGATTATCACGCTGACTCTCACAACATTTAGAAGAACAGCTGTCCCAGACACCTCCACGTGATTTATGCTTCACATTGGCTCCCAGCACGTTTGGCCCTTAGCCTATGACCAGCTGGGCAAGGATAGACCCTGGCACCATGACAGATCCTGCTCCAAAGTCAGAGACATCATCTCTGCTGCTTTGTTTCCCTAATTGGATACATCCCATCAGAACAAAAATGCTGCTGCCTCTCTTACACACAAATTTCTTCTGTCCTCTGGTGTGCTGACTTGCTTTTAAGTAAGACTTTCCATACTCGGGATTCCTTATCAGACAGGCATTTACACTTTTTAAAATGTACTCATGGAGCAGCTCATCATGGAGCAGCGGGACTGTAACACTGCCAGTCAGAACATAATTTATCTGTATCTTGCTATCCCATTGATTAAAAAACTATATTTCACAGCAATTATATCACAGTGTTAAATTATGTCTTGCTGACTAGGCTCCAATTCTAGGTCATAAAATTGAGGGGTTAGTTTTAGGCTGGAAGTTTTAATAATTTCTTGACTGACGTCCTGTGACCATACCCATATTTGAAGAACAATGAACAAAAGGGTTTTCTTCCACAGACAAAAAGAGGCTCAACTACTGAACTAAAAGGCTTTCTTTCTCATCCCTTGCCTCTTCATCACATGTCCTGGATAACCAGGGTCTTGAGAAACAGGTGTCCCAGGGGAAAAAAAAGGTGAAACTTGGGATATATATTTCTGCTATCTGGACCAGAAATATATATCTCCCAGCCTCCAGAAGTTGTGATGAGGGAGGTGACGAAGGTGTGTGAAGGACAGATGCCAGCAGTACTAGCAGTGAAGCACAAATCTTATTCTGAGTAACATTGCTCAGGCCAAGACAGCTGGCTGAGTAAAAGACACATCCCTACATCAGGCCACAAACTCACACTTTTCTGGTTACCTGTTCAGCATTCCAAGCTGCCTTTCTTCACCTTCCTCCTGCCAGGGTCTAGAGGGAGGCTCAGGGGAGACCTTATCTCTCCAAAGCTTCCAGATAAGGAGGTTTTAGAAAGGTGGGAATTTGATCTCTTCTGCCAAGTAACAATAAATAGGAGAAGAGGAAATGGCCTAAAGTTGCACCAGGGGAGGTCTAGATTCGATATTGGGAAAAATTCTTCACTGATAGGTTGAGTGGCTAAGTCACCATGTCTGGAAGCATTTAAAAGATGTGTAGATGTGGCACTTGGGGACATGGTTTAGTGGCATCAAGTTTATGGCTGGACTCGATCATCTCAGAGGTCTTTTCCTAAACAATGATGGGACTCTCCTAACTGGCTTATTGTGCAGAAAGGTACCATGTGACATTGCCACACAATAACCACACAAGTTCTGTGGAGCTGAATATGCCCCTCCTTACATTCAGCTCACCACTGAGTTAAGGAAATTATTTTTACCACACAGGAATGCCTCAAAAATAAAAATTAAAAAATAAAAAAAATGAAGTTTGTGAGGTGCTTGGATATTACAGAAGTAGGAGGCTTCATAAAAATATACAGTGGTTCACTTTTTCTAAACTCTTCATCCTTTCCTGCCTGGGGATTTCATTCCACACCCAACATGCCAAGTATTATTCTTCACCAAGATGAAAATACACAACTGTTGGGCAAATTGTCTGTAGGCCCAGGGCACGTTTTCCAGCAGCAAGATCTCACTGTCAAAATATTTGCAAGGGCAAATAGGTGGCAAAAGAAGTGTCAGCACAGTAAATCATGTGTTGTAAGTCACTGACAGTTTCAATGGATATGCCTGGGGTGGGCAGGAACAGGATTGTCACTGGGTTCCCAATGGGAAGCGACAGGAGGCACCGTCCCACAGGTGTGCCAGACACAGAAAAGAAACCAGTGGGAAAGACCAGTGTTTGCCCAAGAAGCACAGGTCAAAAACTCACAGAATAATTATTTCAAGACTACAATGAAGCATTTTTCAAGAGAAATAATCATGACTGCCACAGGTCTCACCAGAAGTCAGCTTAATCCTGCTGAAATCCAGACAACAACAAACCACATAGGCAGCTGTGAGAGCCTCTGCCTGCCTCTACCAGGGCTGGACTACACATGGCCACTTTGTAAAATATCCCAGTTCCCCTTATGAATAGGCATGATCTGATTATTAAGACAAGAAGCACTTTCCCGTGTCCTTCCCTCCTCCCTCCCTCCCTCGCTCCCTTTGTGGTGACTGCAGCGGGGCTGGTAAGTTATGCATGCTGGAGCTGTTCTTTTGTGAAGGGGAGATGTTACAACTTGTGTGATTTGCCATTATGCTGTCTTTTGTGACAATCCTGAGATGGAAGGAAATGTCTGGAATATTTCTGGCAAAAAAAAAAAAAAAAAAGAAAAAAAAGAAAAAAAAAAAGAAAAAAAAAAAAAAAAACCCAGGACCAAGAAAGGATTCAGCGGAGGATGTTGGCATGCTTTACATTGGAGAGAAGAAAGGCAAATCACACACTGCAGTGCCCCTACCCCCAAAAGCAAAAACCATCTTTATAAGCATATAGGGATTTTATAAATCCCCAAGCCCCTTCTTCTGAAAATTTATTACAAAACAGCTATCAAAGTTTCTGTGTAGGAAAAAAGCCTGCTTCTCTAATACCCACTATCAAGCTCATGACCTGGATATCATGCAAAGGCAACTTTGTCTAAAATTTTCATTTATGATAGAACCTGAAAACAAAGTTAAATTCTTTATATTGAGTACTGAATTTCTGTATTCCCAGTTAGTGCTTACTCAGGAAAAGTGTAATTATTTTTATAATGTATTTTTCAATAATATTACATTTGACAAAGAAGATATTGTCATGTATGTTCTACAAGAGAAAAATCTACTATCATCAGAAAAAAAAAAAGAAACCAACCCAAGAAAAATTTATTTGGCAATTAAAGACATACATCATTAATGTATTTCACATTTGAAGTGAAGAACTCATCTGTAGAAATGTACTTTGATTTAAGTCTTACCTTTTCCAAGCGAACAGTTTGAGTGTCTCCAACACTCTACTGAAATTCAACCAGTTTATTATTTTGATAAGAATAATGATTGTCTACATGTAAGATTCAAGGGGGAAAATACATCAGAGGTGAATTTGTTTACAGCACAATTAACCTTATGTTTAAAACGTTTTGAGCAAGTTTTGCAGGCCAAATAATCTGTCACACAAAAAGGGCTGAATTATCAGAGTTTGTGCTAGAAATCGGATGTTGCTTTATGTACTGAATTTCTATCTTTCTGTTCTAAAGTAACCATTGGAATAATTTTCTTACAGAATGATAGTTGCTATGACAACCATAGCAAATTTTCCTTTTCTGAAACAGATGTCTCATTTAGTTGAAAATTAGAATGTGAAAAACCCATGGGAAAAATTAATTCAAACTTTAACAGAACACTGACTACAATGTAATCTCTTATAGGTTAACCCCTTAACATCTTTTTGCACTCCTATAGTAACCTTCTCATAAATTCTAATTAAACCAGTTTAACCTCCTAGAAATGACCTTCTTAGATATCATTAGCACTTTAGTTGTCTTTGAAAGGATCATTTCTGTTATAATAGTAACAGAAAAAAGTCATACTAAAAAAATAATGGTCAAACATATTACCACCCTAATTATTTATTAACTTTTTTTTTTCTTTTATTCTGCTACTACAGGAAAGAGCTAACATGTAGCCCAAGAATTCTTTTGTCATTTAAATGGGGCTTTACTTAGTTTTGCATGTAAAAGGTGAGGATGGACCACACATATCTGACCTGCCCTTTATGTGAAAACTGAAGGTTTTTCATTTCCAAACCAGTGGTACCCATCTCAATTTGACAGGCATCTCAATCCACAAACAAGGGACGCTTGACTGGGGGGAACTATCAATGTACCTGGATTTTTCTATTACAAGCAATGAAAGACTGAAATTTGATTATCCATTGCTTTGATTCAATTCTTTTAACTCAAAGAATGGCTTCCTTCTTTTCCAGCTCAAGGGGACTCCTCACAGTACCTGGGTACCCCTGCAAACAAACAGGGCAGAAAACCAGTGGCACTCTCAGAAACATCCTCCCCTTGGCACTGCCTGCAGGGCTGGGGGGTGTCATCTAGCACAAGAGGTGCAAGATTTAATGCAGCATCTGCCTCTAGGCTGCCCAGCTGAGTAACACAAATCTTGCCACCAGTAGGCACCAATTACCCTCTTGGACTTCAGGGGGAAAGCCCAGGAGCCACAGGGTGGTTTGACTCAACAGCAGTGGTGTTTCAATGGGATTGGTGGGCAGCATCTTGCAAACACCCTGGTAGCAAAAAGTGCAGAACTGAAACACATTGTACCTCCTAATTTCTATTGTTTCCTATAAAAATATTTTCTTTTTCTGCAGCTGAAAGGCAAGTTTTCTCACTAGAATTCCTTTGCTTACCAAATACAATTCAAAGGTTCACAAACACATGCAACTTGCTCCAGTCTTTTCTCCACAACTGTTGTCATTTTTCTCCTACAGGAAAATAAACAGATATGGGTTGGTGACTGTCAAGAAGCTCAGTGGGAAAATAATGGACCAGATCACCTTTCTCAATCCTGCTCCTCTTCCTGAAAGAAGCAAATATTCCATATTTAGAAGACTGGACTGAAAGCCATACTGGCAGGAGCGACTGGTCAAAGGCCATGGAGCATGAAAAGCAGATCC